TGGCTTTTTTTCTTTTTTCTTTCCTGTTTAATATCATGGTCCCATTTTTGTAAAAGTAATCAGTTTTAAAACATGAAAATATTACTTTGTGCTCTTATATCTATGGATAGTCCTCTATCAGTTTTTGGTTTTATATTTTTGTAAATGTTCTTGGTATTAGTGGTACATTGTAACAAGATTCTGGGAAAAAAAGGCTCCCTAACTTCTGAAAATATAGGATAGTGGCAATTCTTCAGGGATGAAATATGTACATTAAAATACTTTTTGGCTACATATGGAAATAAGTACCTAAAAGTGCCTGAACATTTTTGGAGCCTTCCTCTGTACATCCTACATATTCGTCTGAGGAAACCCCACGACACAACTCGCAAGTAGGGCCCTGCTGGGCTTTGCACACCAGGCAGCTGGGCACTCCTACACCACTGGTGAGGATGAAGATAAAGTTCAAAAGCAGCACTGTAAAAAACAAATCCTGGAAAGACCAGGAGTCATAGCCAGGGGTGGAAGAACCACAGGGTAAAGCAGTGTGAGTGGGAATTGGGTGCACTGTCTCATGCGGGCATATTCCCAACTAACATTTTATCGGCTTACTAGGACCTGTAAGAGGAACTATAGCTCTGTTGTCCAGTTTCCTCCTCATTCTGACTATGAATACTACTAATATGAACTACCATGTTCATGATAGTAAACTGCTAGCACAGGCTGAAGCGACAAGCTAGAGCTTTGAAAATGCAGGGCATTTTTTCCTTTGATACAACAGTTTATCAGTGCAGGAATGCTGGCTGTCATTCTGATAAAGTACCCAGCCTGTGTTTGGTGCAGAACAAACAAACATGGACACAGTTTACTCCCAAGGATAGATTTCAACTACGGAAAAAATTTTCTGAATTCTCCATGGATTTCTGAGAAGGCAGAATTTTAGATGGAGTAATTTCTGTTTGAAGTTACCAAGACTATAGGTATTCTCAGATGATGACTATTAATTTAATTGAATCTGGATCAGACCTCTCAGTGAACTTTAAAAATATGGTAAAATCTGTTTATTCCATGAAGTGATAACTTAATTTTTTTAGGAAAGGACAAATTATCACAAAATAGAAGAATATTTTAGTTAATAGTTTCTCTGTTGCAGTCATTTGGATCTAAACTGCATGGTTTAGGGAGGGACTTTTTGACAGGGAAGAGAAGAAGGTAAAAGAAGAACCAATGTGATTTATAGAAAATAAAACAGGTTCACCCACTTCCTAGTTACGGTCATTAACAGCGGTATAATTGTGCATAATCATTGGTCCCATTCCTAGTGTACAGTGCTAGAGGCTAACTTAACTTTGCATCTGCATAAAAATTCAGATGAAAATATGAATTGTGTTCACTGGTATGACTAGTGTAAAGTAAACAAAGGGTATTTCTATTGTATATTTAAGATTGAGAAACCTATTTTGTGAACAGCATGCTATCAGCAAAGACTTCACAGTTATTAAGTAACTGCAAAGGGACATGGTCAGGTCAATGATGGGTGAGGAAAAAGGCATATATAAAGAGCACAGCAGTGTTGGGATATTGATAGGCACTTACGGTTGTCCCCATCTGAGAAAACTGCAATAATATTCTCTCTGTATCATGATTTCTGTGTTTTAAAACAAAACAAAGATAGTTGTGGAGGTAGGGAAAGAGGATCTGAATGCCAAGCAGTAATTTTAAGGTGAAGAGTACAAAAAAGTTAGAGCAAAATGGATGGTTTAAATTCTTATCATTATTCTACTGAAGAATTAAATTTGCAAGGTCATGTTGAGGCTTATTCAGTCACAGGCATATCAGTGAAGGTAACTGGATTCAGATGAGTTCCCATCCGAGAGATATTTAAAGAAGTGAGTTCCCTAACAAAACAGCGTTGTCTAGACTCATGTTGCATATTAAGTCAAAGCTTGACTTCCATGAATTAAAGTACCTTACTTTAGGTTCTTAACAAAAAAACTGTCCCAAGTTCTGAGATCCACCTTCCCAGACTCACTTAATGAAAGAACATTGTATTTCATTTGCTATGGCTTCCATATACTTTATTCCTTTGTTTCATTTCTAAATTTTCTACCAATACCTGTAACACCAGAAGTTTGCTTTATAAAACTCCCATGCCTTACTAATACACAGTCATGGTAGAACAAACATGAAGACTACTGGTTGCCTGTAATCAGGCCTATGCATTTACTGAGCATACTACATGAGGACTTTCTCTAATTCTATTATTTAAAATGTAGATGTTTTTCAGGTGTGTTTGCAATCAAATGCGGGAAGGAAAATTCAGATCGTGGAAGAAAAGAAAGAAGAGGAGTAGAATTGCTGTAGAAGTTATTACAGAAAAAATTTGGAAAATCTATACTGTAAATTATTTCACATAAATTATTTCAATTTTCCCTATTACCATTCACATTTTTATTTTACTAGTTTTCTTGACCCCTTCACTGAATTGCAGAGAAAGATATCATTTTAGATTTCTGAACTGCTTTAGAAATGTCTGTCAGATGGTTTTGATTGAATTCATCGTTAACAGCTCACAGCCTTAGCTTTAGGAATCCAACTGTGTTATGTAAAAACGATATCTCAGAATTTTTCTTTTAGTCAAATGTCTGATTTGCAGAGTCTTAAATGATTCAGTTCTTTTTTTTTTTTTCCCCAACCTATCCAGAGCTTGCTGGTACAAGCACAACCTGGACATGAGCAACGTGTACACAACACCCAGATTTTTAACTTCTTTCAAAATCAAATTCAGATTAACCTCTGAATGGAAGCAGAATCCAAGTAGCAATGAAATAGATAGGAGAGGAAACATCCATCAGTCTTATTCCTCTGTAACACCTCCTAATGTGCCCTTGTATTGATGAAACAATGGACTTTGGCATAATTCATGGAAAATAATATACAAATAGACATGACAGGAAAAATGTGATTACATCTATAAGGGGACAGAAAAGATCCCATAAAAGTCTTCATAAACCTCAGGACTGATTATCTGGGAGACCTCTGGGAAAAACTGTAGTCTTGAATACAAACTTTCCCACCTCATAAGCTTCAAGGGCTTCTTAAATTTTTTTGTAGAATAGATAAAATTCTGCTGTCTCCCCCACATAAACCCCTTTCCCCCAAATCTATTTCACTCCATCAACGTGCAGAGATAGTTTGCTGCTTCTGGAAAGGGATG